AATTTCTACCATATGCACCTCTGATTGCATTAATCTCTAGGACGTATAAAGAAATCAAAACACTTAGCACCAAAAAACAAAACAAAAAAACAAGWAGCCCCATCAATAAATGGGTTAATAACCCAATCAATAAATAAATTTCTTCTTCACAGAAGAAATATAATCAATCAACGAACATGTGAAAAAATGTTCTTCATCTCTAGCGATTAGAGAAATGCAAATTAAAACTACTCTAAAATTTCATCTCACTCTAGTCAGAATGACAATTATCAAGAAGACAAGTAACAATAAATGTTGGCAAGGATGTGGGAGGAAAGGTATACTCATACATTGCTGGTGGGACTGCAAATTGGTGCAAGGACTCTAGAAGGCAGTATGGAGATTCCTCAGAAAACTTAGAATGGAACCACTGTAAGGATTCTGGCTGTGGAAATGTTTAAGGCAGTGTTCACTCCTGGCGGGTAACAGGTGCTCTGTTTTCCATACTTAGAATATTCAGCAGTTTTTCCCTGGAAGTAGTATGATAATACATGTGCATTGCCTAGCTGCTATGGTAACATCCTTCATGAGGAGGCTCTGGGCTAGAGTCTTATCAGCCTTGACCTTGCTCTCAGACACTCAGCTCCTGGGAATAAAGGAATTCTCTTGTTAGTCAACTACAATGTTTCACTGAGCCTAAACCTGCCCACCTAAGAATAACTTTATCCAGTGGACTTTCTTGAGAGCTTCACAAAGCTCCTAACATTGCACATTGCAACTTAGTACATAACTGAGGAATAAACAGCATAATGTTGCTAGGTCCGTAACCAGCCTAGTGATTCAATGAACAATATGTACTAAGGATGCCAATGACCTAAAGTAACCTATTGCTATAAATAAAGCTAGCAGCTCAGGCAAGCAGCCTTTGCTTTGCCTCTGCACCTTGCTTCTGTCTCTTTTTGTTTTCCTTACAAACTACCATTTGACCCAGCTATCCCATTACTCGGTTTTTACCCATAGGACTTAAAATCAGCACACTACAGTGACACAGCCACATCCATGCTTATAAAGCGGCTCAATTTATGATAGCTAAACTATGGCACCAACCTAGATGACCTTCAACAGATGAATGRATAAAGAAAATGTGGTACATATACACAATGGAATATTACTCAGCCTTAGAGAAGAATGAAATTATGGTGTTTGCAGGTAAACGGATGGAGCTAGAGATTATCATGCTAAAGTGAAATAAGGCAAACCCAAAAAACCAAAGGCCAAATGTTTTCTCTGATAAGCAGATGCTAATCCATATTGGGGGTGGATGGGTGGCTAAAAATGAAGGAACTCTGGATTGTGTAGAGGGGAACGAGAGGAGAGGAAGTGAGAATGGGAAGAACAGGGGTGTGAGACGGACATCATTATCCTACATACATGTATGATTACCCTACTGGTGTGACTTTACACCATATTCAGCAAAAGGGAGAAGTTGTTCTCTATTTGTATACAATGTATCAGAATACATTCTACTGTTATATATAACTAATTAGCAAATTCTAAAAAAACAACTACACACACACACACACACACACACACACACACACACACACGACAGTTTAGATTTATGATTTAATTGTCACTGCTCTCCCAACTGGATGATTCCTGCTGGTTAAAGAAAGATGAATCAATCATTGACTCATTGATTCTCAACCTGTACCCGCTGCTCTGGCCCCCCAACAAATTTACCAGCCTTCTCTCCGGCAAAATAGAAAATCTAGTTTTACAAACAAGGAAATATGAATAACTGTAACAAAAGTGAAGGATACAGTCAGTCCAGAAAAGATCATTTGTGTGTCAATCATTTGTGAACCTTGAGATTCACTTGTTGAAGAGAACTTTGCTGACTATACAGATTCTCAGAGATAATATGAATTGATAAGACTTAATAGTGCAGAGGTTTCTCAAGCTGGAAAGATGCAAAGTCTTGGTGTGTCCTTGAATGCAACTTTCTTTTCGTGCTCAGGACAGTCCTTTCCCATAGTCCCTGCTTGCAAAAAAGTTAACACTGACCATGACCATTATTTGATGTGTGTATTACCCAGTGTTTTATCTTATTTGCCTGGACAAGACTTGGGAAAGCACTYAGCCTGAAAACTAAATTAATATATTTAAGAATTGATTAGTGAAGCAGCCATGGAATGGGGACATGTTAATATTTTAATAGGGGTAAAAACACTGGCCTTCACGAAGAGCTTCACTTATTGACCCCTCTGGCTTCATTTTATTCAAAGTAGTAAATAACATACCTTCCATTAATCAAAAATAAATAATTTTTTTAAAAAAAGAACTAAAAAGCCATGGTGGGGGATAGGAATCAAGCTGTACAACTGTTAAATTTCTATATTCTATGTGAAGTTGTACAATATTAATTGTAAGAAGACTGTGAGAAGCAAAAAATGTTATGTTATAGTCCTAGAACAATAATAAAAAAGGATGCAACCTAGGTAAAAGGCAAGAAATTAGAATGGAATTCTAAAGTCAAAGTCAAATAAACCTAAAGGTGGCAGAACAGAGAGGAACAAAAAACTAGAAAATATATGATAAAATAGTGGATATAAATATATACTGCAACTAAATGGTGGAAATTATCAGAATGAATAAAAAAGCAAGATACAACTATGTCCCACCGGAATTTTACTTTTAAAAAACAAAAACAAATAAAAAACAGGCAGGCAAGCCTGAAACTGTTGTAGCAACTCTCACTGAATATGAGAAAACGAATTTTGGGAAAGGATAAATAACTTCTGCATCCTATGAAGACTTTTTGTATCCTTAAAAAGAGAAATAAGTAGCAAAATTTACATATAGTGCTACTCTAACAAAACAGACTTAATATATTAGTAGCCCCTACTCTTTATACTAYATTCTATTAGCTTAGAAATACTTGACCAATTAAGACAGCAGTTTAAAAAATAAATTGCTCATATTCTAATAATTCCAACACATTCCTACTAGTTTGAGAGCTCCTAAAAAGTATGAAATCATGAAAGCTCCTAAAAAGTATGGAATCATGTTAGTCTTCTGAAGCTTTAGTGTATAAGTACATAAATAAAACATATCCATGGAATGGGGTAACCAGCAAAAATACTAAAGAAAATTCCCTACTTACCGTTTGAAGCCTCTGGGCCCACTAAACAGGTAGAAGATGCTTTTGCTATATATCCAGGCTGGGTTAAACCAAGTTCAGATGATTTCTTAGAGAAAACAGGTAAAAAGTAAAGAAGCATTATATTTTATTACGTGTAGTATAACTGAAACTTGATGCAGATTTTAGTAGGCATCATGGATTACCTGGAAATTTGGTGTTCAGTCACCTTAYTATCTAACAAACAAACTCAAAGTGAACAGGAATCTAACAGAGGAGTATTTATCTTAATTGTATCCTAAACATCTCACAAAATAAATTTTCAATCCCCTAGAAAAAGTTTAAAGGACATATTTATGTTGCTACCTTCAAAGAGGAATGTCTTATTGAAATTGCTACCTTCAAAGAGGAATGTCTTAAAGTGTTATGTAATAATCAAATACCAAAAGATAAACAGCTAGAATGAAAGAAACATTAATGGCTAGGACAGAATATATATTCATACTAATTCAGAAACCATTTCTATATTGTGTTAAATATCCAATGAATCAAAGTTCTGATAAGAAAAAATCATTATGGCTTCTGTCGTATCATGTAACTCTAGCCAGAATAAAGCAGAGTGAGCAAAGATTATGGACAACTCTGRGACACAAATGAAACCTATTAGAAATTGAAGAATCTCTAGTGAGTATGAGAGATATATTATACCTGTTATATACAAATCTAAGTGACAGGGAAGGTGCAGAAAAAAGTTCCGGCTGTTTAACAGTTAGATGCCCCTCTCTCAAAGCAAATGAGAACCTACTGAATCACACCAGAACAAGGAATGTAAAGCAAGAAAAGCTACGACACTGGCTCCCTGTTCCCTCTTGCATAACGGTCAGCAGATCTTCAAGAGTATGATTTTTCTCCTGTTTTAGTAAAATTCATATTGGTTATTGTTCTTGGAGAATTTTACTAGCTAGGTAGTTATAAGCCACAAAAGTCCCTGATGTACTTGAAACAAGGAGGAATTGCTAAAGGGCACCTAGATTCCCAGCCAGTATTAACCCAGTCAGGCGCAACAAGTGCAAGACCTTAGACCTAAGCAGCACCTCCCAGAGATCACCCTACATGCAACTGCAGTGTAATTGATGTTTAAATTATCTGTCCGTTTAGATTCTACTTTCCTCGACAATAAGCTGCTTGAAAGCAAGTCTAAGACCATCAAACCATGACCATCTAGAATAACATATCATGCAGATGACACAGAACTTAAGCTTTTCATAAAGTCCTTTGTAGAAGATCAACATATCTATCAAAACTATTTCTAGCCAGGTCTTGGTGGTRCACATCTGTAATCCTAGTACCTCAGGAGGCTGAGGCAGGAAGACCACAGGTTCAAGGCCACCTTTAGCAACTTAGTGAGGCCCAAGCAACTTAGATTGATCCTATATTAAAATAAAAAATAAAAAGGGCTGGGAAAACCACTCAGTAGTAGAGTGCCTCTGGATTTAAAGCCCAGTACTAAGAACAAAGCAAAACAACACCAAACCCCACAAAACTGTTTTTAGTAAATGACATTAGAAGTAACATGCTATATGTATATAGGAGACTGTATGACCAATGTGATTCTGCAATCTGTAGTCAGAAAAATGAGAAATTATACCCCAATTGATTCAAATGTATGAATTTCCAAGATCATTGTAATGTCATGTGTAGCTAAAAAAAAAAAAAAAAAAAAAAATAAGTAACATGAAGGAAACACCAAACACAACTTAAAACCCTAGCATCTACATGTCACAAGAAAGCATTAACATTGAAATAAGGCCTTGACAGTCTTAAACCATCCAGGCATGAAACCAGAGCTCCATTTGTGTGTGTAAAATAAATGAATTACCTCAGGAAGATCTACAGAAGCTTCATCAGCACACAKGCCATCCACATCCATACTAAGGATCTGAAGATCCATCACTCCCCTTTCGACATTGCTGAGGTTGTCATCAGAGCTGCTCTGCAAGGATATTCTCCGACGTTTGCATGGTAACTTTTCAGAGAACCCAGACTGCTGACATTCACCAAGACCTTCCATGTTGGCTACACACACAAAATGACACAGGAATCAACATTTTTTTCCTACACTATTTTAAAATTTTGTACACTATAAAAATTGGGGGAAAATTCAGTGTTTAAATTATCAATGAAAAGAAATAATTTTTTTTTACATCTTTAACCTTTTTACTAAAAAAGAAGATTGAGTTGACAGGCAAGAAAACATGACTACTAAAAAGATAATAAATTTAATTAGAATTATGGGATTTTTAGAATGATACACTAAAATACATGTGCATTTCTAATAGGGTGTCTCACTCTTTCTAAATTTACCATTAAGCCTTTTATTTTGAACATTTTAAAGGATGTGGTTATGTTCTAATACTGCTGTGTTTTTATTGTGACTTTTGTGAAAAAATGCAACTGTAATGTGCCTCAGTTCTTTCTTGATACAAAAAAAGAAGCCCTAACCCTTGATAATTCAAAGTCAGCAGAATTATAATAATGATACAAATAAAATAAATTTTAAAACCCAGATAAAAATCCAAATAATAGATATTTTAGAAACTACAAATACAAATTAGGACATCTGAATGGGTCATGCAATGCAGAGGTGAATGAATCAGACATGYTGAGTTAATAGTAGACTGCACACAGAAAGTACTGAAATGTACTTGAAGATGGTTTAAGCAGTGTTATGGATTGTATGTGAGGTGTCCCCCAAATGCTCATGTGAGAAAGCATGCTAGAAGGTTYAGAGGAGAAATGATTGTGATGAGAGCTTTAACCCAATCAGTGAATTAATCTCCTGATGGGTCTAAGTGGTAACTGAAGGCAGGTAGGGTATGGCTAGAGGAGGTGGGAACTAGGGCGTGGCTTTGGGGAATATATATTTTGTATCTGATGAGTAGAGTCTCTCCCTGCTTCCTGATCATCATGTGCACTGCATCCCTCTGMCACATATTCYGCCATGATGTTCAGCCTCATCTCAAKYCCAGAGGAATGGAGTCAGCTATCTATGGACTAAGACCTCTGAAACTGTGAGCCCCCAAATAAACTTTTCCTCYTCTAAAATTATTCTTATCAGGTCTTTTAGTCACAGCAGCAAAAAAGCGGACTAAAACAAGAAGTCAAAAGAGAATCATTTGTGCTCGCTTYGGCAGCACATATACTAAAATTGGAACGATACAGAGAAGATTAGCATGGCCCCAGTGCAAGGATGACACACAAATTCATGAAGCGTTCCATATTTTTAAATTCTAAAAAAAAAAAAAAAGTCTAATAAAGCAAAAAGCATATTTTCTTAAAAAAAATTAAAAATTAAAAAAAAGAGAATCATTTGAAACCTAGGCATGTGAAGTACTAAAGGAATAGTTATACTGATTACAGTAAGTCCAAGATTTTGTCGAGTTCTGGTATTTCAAGTGCTTTGTATTTGGAAAAACAAAAAATGACTAAAAAATAACCAAATGAATTATAATTTAAGAGGTACAGCAAAGAACATAGCAGATCATTAAGATATCAGATTGGATATATATGTGGTTAACCTCACAGTTGGGTATTTGGTATTCACATAAATGTTTRCAAAACTAAAAGAATAATCCTATTAAAAAATCAAGGTTTATAAACTCAAATTTGCCACATATCCTATTCTAAAGCTGATATGAGCTAATAAGCTCTATTTAAAACTTAGAACTCAATTGCAATGATGTGAAAATAAAGGTTCAGGAATGCTTGATATTAGATTTTTTTCAAAAGAAACCAGAAATCCAGATTTCTGTGTGATATGTCCCAATTTTAAATGTTAGGCTCCATTTAAAGATACAATGGAACTCTGCAAAGACTGTTTTCTCACAGTGAAAATAAATCTTCTTTATATCTTAGAAACTTGTCTTTATCAACACAGAAGTCAGAATRCAGAATGAATTCTTGATACTCACTCAAACCTGTTGTCTCAAATCCTCCTCTCACTCCTGAGAATTCTGGACAATCAATCATTTTCCCATCTTCCTTTATGGAGTGAAAAACTGTCTGGAAAGCAGATATCCGCTCTCTTAATGAGCTAACATTTTGATACAGTCCAGGGCTGCCCTGTTATAGTACAAAAAACAGAGTATTATCAATCAAGCTTAGTTTATTCTAGGCCTATAATCACTGAATCTAAAACTAAATACACAAAGGCCTTTTGAAGATCAGACGKAAAGAATTGGTATAGCAAAGCTTCTTCTACCTGGAAGTCTGCATTTTCTATCTGAATATGTGGTATACTACAATCATTTTAATTTCCCCTCTGTTTTACCCAGTTTTAAGCAAAACCTCAGGGAAGAGGAATAGCTAAGTGGTATGGATAGATGTGTAGCTATGTGCTAATACTGAGTAATGAGCCCATGAATCATGTTAAGAGAAGCTTGGAATAGGTGGAAATGCTTTAGAAAGGAGTCCACATAAAATGCATTCCCAGTTATATGGGATTAACAACTCTTTAAAGGATTCCAAGGCCCTTAAGTGCTTTCTTTCACACCTTGGTACCCAATACAAAAACAAAACAACAGAAAAACACCATACTGAATCCCAGAGATGGGGCAAGGAAGAAGGRGCTGGAGGGTCCTACTTATTTGGAAATTTCATCAAAAGTTGTGCTAAAACTGCAAGTCATCTGTGTGATGCCTTGTCACATGTTTCATCTCAGCACACCTTCAATCCAAGCTGGTCTCTTTACTCATCCTCAGTCTGCAAAAGTCCCCTGCCAGGGGAAGTCAGAACAAGCACAGAAGTTCCACACTGGCTCCTGACATCCCTCCTCATAGAGCCAAAGAGCTCTCCCTGGCTACCTTTTCCTGATCTTACGGAACTTAGGAACGAAAGCCAGACACTCACTTAACATACAAACCTAGATGGGGCATGCCCAGGAGCTCTCTGGAAACCCTTCTGACAGGGCGCCAAGCAAATACTAATAAAATGAATTCACACTAGCAGGTACAGAAGTGCMACATGACAGGTGATATAAAATTTAAGAGTTCTGTCAATATCAATAGTAAGTTAGTGGTAAGTTCTCTCTGCAGGATTTTTGGTGTTTTRTTTTTCCTTCCTTTATTACTTGGACTAACATATTTCCACTGATARGAGCTTGTAGCAATTCAAAAATTCACATCAAAATGCAAAAGTAAAAGAAAGACATTACCTTCCCTTAAGATATCATATGGAGGGAAATAAACAGTTAAAATCTTCAAGTCATGTTGGATGATCTGTTCATACATTTGATTCTATCCCTAGTACATTCATAAAGCAAGTCTATTACATAAAAGCAGAACATTTTAAATTCAAATACACTTGATGATGTAAACCTTTATGACATAAAGAACACATATTATTCAAAAAGTCTATGGGTCACTTGTCTCTAGGAGTGATGGGACAAGATTATCTCAATGGCATATGAATTGCTTTTAATGTGCTTTGTGTGTACTCATATTTGAACATGATAGGGTTGATGTAATGTTCTAGCAACTTGGRGCACTTTGAAATGCAGCTTAATACAAACTAAGTTTTCCTACTTGCAATGTTGTTTTCCTGCTGGAGGAAGAGAACAAGGTTCATGTACTAAGTAAATGAAACAGTCAAAATGTATAGCTTTTTGCCACTTTTGTCTTCTCAATCATGTCAATCAGCCAACATTCCTTTCTGTGAACCAGAACCTGTTCTAGGAGCTTAAGATGTGGGAGGAATTACATTCYAGAGTGAAATTCTGAAAACATATTAAAGTAAGTTTGAGGACAAGAGATTTTGGAAAATATAAAATATGAATATGGCCAAGTCACTAAAGTGCTGAACACCTGAGATGAAACCAYAGTAATGGGAAAGTGGTGCAGGGGAAGAAGGTGTTCTGCAAGAATTAGGAGAAGTGAGCAGAGGCTCTTGGTGGAAATAGGATGGGGCAAAATGAAAGYCCATTGACTGGAAGCAAACAAGAGAAGGGCTTGCAGGGCTCAGATCAAGAGGGACCAGAAGCCTTCAGGATTTAAATCAAGGCATAACAGAAAGCCATGGCAAAGTTTTMAGGAGCAGAGTCAAGGATCTCATTTATACTTTAAATATACCTCTTTGATCTGTGTAATGATAGATAGATTAGGGATAAAGGAAAAAGGAGACCAGGTAGGAGGAAGCAGTTGGTGACACTGGCTAGAGTCACTAAAGTAGAGTTATAGCTGTGAGGATGTGAAGAATTATAGGTAGGCTTTTGAAATGCAGCCAAAAAGTAGTGATAACTTGGAGATGGGACTAAGGAAGACAGGAATCAAGAAAGATTAAAAGRCCTGAGGCCTGAGCAACTAGATGATGATGGCTTTTCCTGAAATGGGAGAGTGGGCTAGAGGATCTGCTGGAGGGTGGGTATCAACAGCTGGGTTTTGGCTCGGTTATGCTGGAAATATTTTTCAAAACCCAAGGGAGCTTGGCTGGGGTAGTGGTTCAGCAGTAGAGCGTTTGCCTAGAATGTTCTAGGCCTGGGTTTGATCCTCAGCACCACATAAAACAATAAATAAATAAAGGTATTGTGCCCAACTACAACAACAATGACAACAACAACAATAACAACAAAAACTCCAAGGGAGCACCAGGTGCAGTGGTGCATGCCTTTAATCCCAGCAGCTCAGGAGGCTGAGACAGGTTGCTGAGTTCAAAGGCAGCTTCAGGAAAAATCGAGGAGCTAAACAACTCAGTGAGACCCTGTCTCTAAATAAAATRCAAAAGCTAGGGCTGGGAATATGGCTCAGTGGTCAAGTGCCCCCAAGTTCAATCCCTGGTAACACCCCCGATCCCCCCCCCAAAAAAAACCCACAAGGGAGCAACTGAATAGTGGGCTGCTGTTATCCAGGACTTTGGGGCTGAAGACAGACATTTCAGACTCATCAGTGTAGAGATGATTCTCAAATCAAAGAGAAGGAGACAAAGAAGAGGCCTATACACACTAGCATTTTTGAGGGAAAACCTGGAAGAGGAGGAATTAGCAAATGAAATACAGAATTGACCAGTGAAACTGGAAGAAAATCAGGTTAGGTGGTATCCCACAAACCAATTGAAAAAGTGTCTCAAGGAAGTCAAATATATCCAGAACTGTTGAAAGGGTGAGCAAGGCTAAAATTTAATCTTCGGAGTTGTCAAGGTACGAGCCATTTTTGAAGAGAGATGACAAGAGTTGTCTTAACAGAGAGGGGGAAATAAAGCCAAATAAAGTAGCTGGCAGGATCAGAGAGAACAGCAGAAGGAATGAATCTAGCCAGAGCAGCAAATTGGTCAAGGAGTTCTGCTGAGATGGGGCCACTGAAAGTAGACAGGAGCCAGGAAGTCTGGGAAGTGGCCCAAAGGAGAGGAAGAGACAATAACTGCAGAAGACGACTCAGCTCAGAACAACATACATGATCATAATGATATAAGCATGTGAACACTGACATAACCAATCTACTGGGAAGCTGGAGAGAATGGGAAGTATGTTATAAAAGGTCTTAGGAAGAAGAGAGCTAAGTCTTCATAATCCATTTTGGGATGTCGGTAGTAAATGCCTATAAGAGAGAATGTAGGTAGTAGCAGAACAACCACCTAATATGGAAACAAATGCTAACAAGATCAGCTACAAAAGCTGAAATCCTCGGAAAAGGAAAAATGGGGTGAGGGGAGGCAGCTATACACTGCTTTTATGAAAATAAATAACGCAGGTGGCTTGGGAAGCTGAGACAGGAGGATTACGAGTTCAAAGCCAGTCTCAGCAACAGCAAGGTGCTAAGCAACTCGGTAAGACCCTGCTCTAAATAAAATACAAAATAGGKCTGGGGATGTGGCTCAGTGGCCAAGTGCCCCTGGGTTCAATCCCAGCAATCAGCCCCCCACCCCTCAAAAAAAAAAAAAAAAACACCCTATAGCATTATTTGATTTTTAAAGTATGTGCACAAATATTCAACTTTATACTCTTGAATCATGGAATTCAAACTGGGTAAGRGATGAGAGAATATAAAGTGAGTATGCAAAGGGAATATGTGGTGAGGCCAATGGCYGAAAGTTTCAACGCAACAAATTACTACTGAGGTGAACTGGAAGGATGAAATATCAGTAAGAGTGAGACAGACTTTGATGATACCAGCAAGTGGCGACACAGAGGAACTACTGAGATAAAACAGAGAAAAGAGATCTTTGAATTTATAGAAGTAAAACACCTGAGACAGCCAGAACGTAAGATGGATCATCCATGTGACTGTTGAAAATTTCAGAAAAACAACAGCAGAGGAAGAAAGACAGAGAGCCACTCTGTTCAACTTCTCCTTTGAAGTGTTTTCTTTCTAAAATGGGGCAGAGGTGGAGAAATAAGGGATGAATTCTTTAAACACACAGGCCTGTAGACTTTATAAAAACTTAATTCTAGTAGTGAATTTACAGACTATTATGGTAAGTTAGAACATGTGACTTTTAAGAATTATTTTATTCATTAATTCAAAAATGTCTTGAGCAAGGAAGGGAGCAGAGGATGAAAAGAACTGACATAAGAGCTACTAAGTGTATTTACAGTAAAGGCACAGATCAGAGGGTCAAAGACGTCACTGATTTGTTCAGAAAACTTTCAATTTAAATAAACTTAGCTTAGTTAAATGTAGCTTACTAGTAAAACACTAGCCTAGCATGTGTGAGGTCCTGAGTTCAGGCCCAGCACTGCAAAACAGAAACAAAAATCCTGAACCACCTTGCTGTCTCTGGGGTGTAGTACAATGTTAGAGTACATGCCCGGCATGTGCAAAGCCCTGGGTTCAAACCTTGCACCACACACAAAAACAAAGAATTAAAGAAAAAATATTCTTCATACTAAAAATTGTTTACTCCAAATCTAAGAAATATAAAATATCAGTTATAAAATTATAAGCATTATCAAAAATTTTAAAACTATCACTCTTAAAGATATATAGTTGGGGCTGGGGGCATAGCTCAGTGGTAGAGTGCTCGCCCAGCATGTGTGAGGCACTGAGTTCGATCCTCAGCACCACATTAAAAAGAAATAAATAAAGTTATTGTGTCCATCTACAACTAAAAAAATAAAAATAAAAAAACAAAACCAAGAATTACGGTTTACTTTTCTAAAAACTACTTTCACCAGTACWTATTTTATTTATTTATTTATATATTTTTTCCTACTAKCTTCTTTTTTCAGTGGTGCTGGGAATTGAACCCATAGCCTTGGTACATGCAATGCAGACACTCTACCAAGTGAGACATATCTCTAGCCCCCATTTATATATTTTTTAATAACRAAAAAAGCCTGTAGGCTGGGGATGTAGCTCAATGTTCAGCATTTGTCAGGCCCTGGGTTTAACTCTCAGCATGCACATATGCATGCATACCCCACCCCCACACACAAACAAAACACTTTTAACAATGGTGTAAACTAAAAATGTACATCTCAAGTAATTTTTTAAATGAGCACACRATCATGATATGTTTTGGGGGGAGCTGCTTATAATTGTACATATAAATACATGCATATGTATACTCTTAAGGAAAAATGAGAGAAAAAGCAACAGCAGACAAATAGAAACTGTCTTAGACCAGGCAAAGCAAGAAACCAATCAACCTGCTACAGACCTCCAGAGCATCAGATGCTTCCCAAACCAGGGCCAATGGATGGACTGAAAACTGGAGGTATGTTAGAACTACATTAGGAGCATTGGAACCCACAGATCTCACCATAAATAAGACTAGGCCATTGTGTTCTTGAGGGWACAGGGATATATAGGACTCCAGGAGCAGCTGAGGGACAGRGTTAATGCCTATACTGAAAACAGARCTGACCAAGGCTCTTCAATGAATAGTGATATTCCCACATTAACTTTTAGAGCTCTAGGACTCAGGTTTATACCACCAGGAATTCTTCTCAGGAAAGCAGATCAGCCAGAGAAAAGATTCATAGATTACATTTGTTTCCCCAGGGAAAAAGTGGCCTTGTTTGTCTTACATAGAAATTCACTAGTTAGCAAGCCCTGTCTGTGCACCTTGAATTCCCAAGCAGTTATTCAAAGTGCCTGAGTCTTAAATACAAACATCTGAAGATTAACAGACATTTAAAGTGCTGAGAATAAGACAATCTAAAATACAGCGTGCAAAAAAAAAAAAAAAAGAACCTGATGAAAAAGAGATCTTGCAAGGCAAGGAAGAAAACCTCAACAAAACAATCCACAACAAAAGATATTCCATCATAAAAAGAAACATGAAAAGTCAGCCATCAAAATATTTGTTGAATAAATGAATGATCAGAGCTATTCAACTCTGTAAGCCAAAATACAATGATGGAAAATATTTCAACCTAGATTCCTGTACCAAGAAAAACAATGTAATGTGTTAGTAGAATAAATCTATCAAATATGTGGCAATTCCAGAAAAAATGAGGTAGTAAATTAAGAAAAAGGAGACCAAGGAAATGGGATCCAAATGGAAGTAGAAAAGGTAATTACTAGGGATGGTATAAGAAGCTACAGAATGGTATCTGCCCAGCAAGCCTAGATGGCAACCAAGCCAGACAGGACGAAAAGGGCAAGACTCTAAGAAGAAAAGAAGACTGACAGACTCTTAAGGTTCACAGTTTTTGTCAAGTAAGGAAATGAGATATGTAGTAGATTAAAAGGGAAAAAAAAGTACTTATTAACTCTGGGAAAACAAAAGTTGTGGAAGAAAGAAAACCACTGCATTGTACAGAACAGTTTCTGGAAAATGTGTACATTTAAGTAATGCATACCAAACCCTAATTTAAACAAAAATTGTACCTGATGGCACTGGAGGGAGAAACGGGAAAGCATTAGGTTAGGTAGGTGAAGCACTGTACTATACCAACTGTTTTGCTATAGTTATTTTCAGTAGTAATAACTATAGCAAAATCAACCATTCCATGCATATTCTAGGAAATGCTGTAAGTACATCACATTTATTTATTAATCCTCAGAAAGTCCTTGCTATTATTATCACCTGATTTAAACTTGGGAACAGAGAATTTAAGTAATTTGTCAAAAGTCACAGCTAATTACTAACAAAGCAAGGATAAAACCCAAGCAATAAAGCTTTAGACTCCATGCTTGTATCTACTGTAACAGCAGACCTCAACACGGTTTCCTACTCTTAAAAATTATAAAGTACTCTGAGCTATGTATGTTGGTTACGTCTATTAGAAGTATTTTAACAGCCTTTTCAGAATTGTCAATCTTCTTTACTCAATAAAACTCATAAGATTTGTTAAAAGTTAATCACAACGTCACACACAAAATTCTATCAATTAATGTTTCATATTCTGTTATGTTAAAATCCAATCTACTTTGCAGTATAGAGGTTATCTTTTAACCATGCAAGTTTCAAAAAAAWTTTTTTTTGTTCTAATTAGTTACACATGGCAGTAGAATGCACTTTAAAACACCATATGTAAATGGAGTATAACTTCTCATTCTTCTACATGTACAATCACACCGGCCGTGTAGTATATATGCACAGAGGGTAATAATGTCTAATTCTTTCTACTATTCTTCTTACCCCCCCCGCCCCCTCCCTTTCCTTCAGCCTAATCCAAAGTAACTCTATTCTTCCCTAGCCCCCTCTCCCTTGTGAATTAGCATCCACATATCAGAGAAAACATTTGGGTTTTGGGGATTAGCTTACTTTGTTTAGCATGAATACTCTCCAGCTCCATCCATTTACGAATCTGCCTCAAACAAATAATTCTTACCAATGAGAAAATTTGCATTTGTAAGAATAAATTAGAATTTTAGAAACCATGTATCCACTACTATTAAGCCTGACAACTTTCTGAGAGATACTTCAATGGATCAGTAGGAATATTTATGAAGTATTTTACTATCGCTTAATAAAATGCATCAGTATTTGGAAGATAATATAGTGAATCAATACTTTCCAAATGACTGGGGCATACTGTTAAAAAATCTTGCATGGGCATACCTTTTCCACACATCCTCATCAACACGTATTGTTGCTTATGTGCTTGATAATTGCCATTCTGACTGGAGTGAGATGAAATCTTAGAGTAGTTTTGATTTGCATTTCTCTGGTGAGACTGCAAATTGGTTGCACTATGGATATTCTTCAGAAAACTTGAAATGAAATCAGCATTTGATGCAGCTATCYCACTCCTTGGTTTATATCCAAAGGACTTAAAATCAGTATACTACAGTGATGCAGCCACATCAATGTTTAAAGCAGCTCTCAACTCACGAAAGCTAAACTGTGGAACCAACCTAGGTGCCCTTCAACAAATTAAAGGATAAAGAAAATGTATATATATRTAYACACACAATGGAATATTACTCAGCCATAAAGAAGAATGAAATTATGGCTTGCTAGTAAATGGATGGAACTGGAGACTATCATGCTAAGTGAAATAAGTCAGTCCCCCCAAACCAAAGGTTGAATGTTCTCTCTGATGTGTGGATGCTAACACACAATGGGGTGAGGGAAAGTAGAAGAATAGAAAGTCATTGGATTAGTCAAAGGGGAATGAAGGGAGAGGGGTAGGAACAGGAAAGACAGTATAATAAATTGGACATAACTTTCTTATGTTCATATGTGAATACAGGAACAATGTAACTCCGCATCATGTTCAACCACAAGAATGGGAAGTAATATGGGGCTAAGATTGTGGCTCAGTGGTAGAGTTCTCACCTACACATGCATGAGGCACTGAGTTTGATCCTCAGCACCACGAAATGAGAAATAAAGATATTGTATCCACCTAAAACTAAAAAAATAAATATTAAAAAAATGGGAAGTTATATAAGTACATATAATGTCAAAATACGTTCTACCATCATGTATAACTAAAAAGGACAACAACAAAAAAATGTTTTTAAAGATTTTTAAAGCAGGAAAGAAAAAAGTTGGAAAACAATAAAACAGTGCCTCATCTCATTCTAGAAAAATAGACAAACTGAAAAATGTTAGTAAAATAAATAGAAAGCTCCTCTGGAAAGAAAACCATTTCAATCCAAGGCCACCTAACTCTTATCCATGTTTAACATTATCATTTATGTTAACTGCAAATTCTCTGCAAGACACAGAAAACACACTAYAAATCCAAAATTTCATAATAAACCAAAATATTTTCCTAGCAGAATTCATGAAAGAATGTACAAGAAAACCATACCTGAAAGGAAGAATCCTGTGCCAAAGATGTTCTCTTAGCATTCTTTAAAATCCTCTGCTGAGCAATGAAACGAATCAGATGGTTTGTTTCAGGAGAGCCCCGGGTGCCAATTGAAGAACGTCGACGAGACTTTTTTGTAATGAAATTCTCTTATAAATTGGAACAAAACACAGCAATCATTAGTAATCATGTCCAAAGCTGGTGATGTACCAGCCTGAGAGAGAAAACATGACATGCTACACAATACTAAGTAGAGAATTATTGGCAAAGTAATTCTAACCATCATCAATTGGGTAGAAATCTTTATTTTGTCCACTCATTTAGTCCATGCTCCTAAAATAGTGCCTGGCACATAGAAGGCATCTATGAAAGTTGTCGCAAGATACAATAACACATTTCATCTAGTAGTKTTATTTTTGTTCCGTATTTCCTGCATACAGAGGTGGGTAATGGCTTTCTTTTGACTAAGAACTCCTCCTTTTTTTGAATTAGTTTTATCCACAATGTCAGAAAGATTACCTAAGCACCTGAATAGCAGTCCCCCTTTACCCATGATTTCAGTTACCTAGGGTCACCCAGTTGGAAAATATTAAATAGAAAATTCCAGAAATAAACAATGCATAAATTTTAAATTGCATTGTATAACAGATGAAATCTCAAGTTCTCCAACTCCATCCTATCTAGGATATGAAACACCCCTTTGTCAGGCATGTCCAGCATACCCACACATTAAGTCACTTAGTAATCACATGGGCTATTTAGATGGTCTGATAGTATTTGTGTTCATGTAAACATTATTATACTTAATCATGGCCTGAAGCTCAAGAGTAGTGATGTTGGAAATTCAAACATACCAAAAAGAAGYTGCAAAGTGCTTCCTTTAAATGAAAAGCACAATAAGATGTTTAGAGAAACAGAACAACTTCATATGACTTACTACAATAAAGTTATAATTTTTCTGTTCTTAGTTGTTCTTAGGCTTTTACTCTACCTAATTTACAAGTTAAACTTTCCCACTGATACGCATGTACAGGAAGGAAAAAACAAGCACATACAGGGTTAAGTTCTATCTTCAGTTTCAGAAATCCACTGGGAGTCTTTGAATACATCCCTGTGGATAACAGCAGCAGGTTKTGAGGGTAGAGACCACTACTATGCTCTTTTGCTCTTAATTTTTCAAGGTAATTTTTTTTCTGAGATACCTGCTTACYTTCAGCACACTACCCTAAATTTTGCCCTTTTGCCTGAGTACAAAACAGATCTAGTGTTTTACAGTCCTAAGARTGACGTTCCTTTTTTCTTTTTTAAAATATTTTTTAGTTGTAGACAGACACAATACCTTTATTTGATTTACTTTTATGTGGTGCTAAGGATGGAACCCAGTGCCTCACATGTGCCAGTCAAGCATTCTACCACTGAGCCACAACCCCAGACCCAAGAGTGATGAACACAGAACAACAACAACAAAAACAAACAAAAAAGAACACAGAACAGGTGCCACTTCAGCCTTGTCTCATTCATCTCATACTTCTAGATAACAATTGGTCTCTCCAGTCTCCTGCTATCCTCCATTTCTAAATGTCATTCTCTAATCCAATTCTATTCCCATATTTCTTTCTTGTCCACCGAAGCCAGACTTCACTGGTGAATTTCATTTCTACTGCTTGAACACCAGCCCAAGTCAATTTTCTGTTTGTGATTTTTAAAAGAGGCACTGCCAATCTATTAATGTTATTTTTTTGAATCGATCCTCAACTTCCACTTATTTTTGCTATACATAAACATTAACGAACGACTATTCCTATTATACACCCTCTTAGATCCCCTTTGTTGGGTCAAAAAGTGATTCACACAGTTTTCCAAGATGGGCATGGAACACACCTGATTTAGGATCATCATCAAGCTGGGTGCTCCAAGACCTTATTGCCCCCATCTGCCATGCTAGATGAGTTGGGCATGTACACTGAAGTCACCCAGGCCATGCTGCAAGCCTATAATCCCAGAAACCCAGGAGKCTGAAGCAAGAGGATTTCGAGGCCAGCCTCAATCTTTGTGAGACCCTGTCTCAAAAAATAAAAAGAGCTGGGATGTAGCTCAGTTGCAGAGTCCCTGGGTTCAATCCTCAGTACAAAAAATTAAAAAGGAAAAAAAAAAAAAAAAACCTGAATAACCAAGTTTGCAGAGTCAATGAACTTAGACACCTATTGTAATAAGATGGAGAGAAACAACAAAACTAATTATACCAATGTGATTTTTATATCTGAAAAGCAGTACAATAGAATGACAACTTTTCTTACCTGAAGAGTTCTTAACAGAGCTTTCAGGTGTAATTCCCAATTGTTCTACGGTTGCTGTGGAAAAGTTCAAAGATGATTTAAAAGTATCTGGTGTGCAAAGATCAGGAGTCATTCCTGCTGCATGCTTCTGAGGAATCACAAGCTTTCCAGTTCCCAAAATGAAAGCAGCATTTTCTGAAATGGACAAGATGTTGTAGGGCATAAACATCATTATCAAGATAAATACCTAAACCTTAAATTTCATGAAGAGGCAACAGATCACCATATACCAGCGTTATTAATTGCAGACTCTTTGATTTCAGAAGGCTCCTTGTTTTTTGAATTAGTATCCATCTAGAAGACAAAATTTAAAGAAACAAAAAATAATCCACCACCAAAATTAATGTGGCTAGACTAAAATCCTTATTCAGGATTGAATGCCAATACAATTTATATCAGCATGAATAGATTTTTTTGAGGTATAATGGCACAACACTTAAAACCACCACCAATCTTCACACAATAATTTTAATCTTTGTGTCTGGGCTAGCACCACCTTGCACTCTGACATTCCTATGTGTACATAAGCAATTGCTTACACAAAAATAGATACTGTAATGTTTTCTTCTTGGATCATTTTTGCTCCAAATTACAATTACACGTCAGTATGTCGCTGATATACACAATTCACTTTCAACTGGGAAGTATGGTAACTTCCTATGAGAGGGAGCTAACCCGTAATTCTAAATATTTTGATTTTTTTATATATATATAGCTGCCATAAAAAGAGCTGTTGAGAGAGAAAGAAACTGAGTTACTGCTGTTCAGCTTGAAACAAAGCAGACCCCTCAATCTTTCTGGATATGTGAATCATCTGTGTATCCSCGATAAAGAGGCAGCTGTGTGCATTTCCCGAAATTCTAAGTGAGCAGGTCTGGAGGGGCCCCGGAAAACTCCTTCTAAAGACCACCCCGGGTGACCCGGAGCAAGTCGTAAGTGGGTCACCTTCCGCGTCCCCGTGCGAAGTGCTAAGTCCAGCAATTCCGAGAGACACCCCGGGGAAGGAGCACTGCCAACCCATCCCGAAGCCAGAACCCTGAGGCGGGCCTACCTCTCACGCCCACCTCCAAGCGCCCAGCGCCCGGGTTTGCTCTGAGAGCACCGCAGCGGACCAGAGTGGCGCCTGTCTCCCTCTGTGGACCCTAGCTCTTCCGGGGGCTGCTCGCCACCTCTGTGGACCCTAGCTCTTCAGGGGGCTGCTCGCCACGTCTGTCCACCGCGCTGCGCCCCGCGTCCCACACCACACCTAGCGGTCCCCTGCCAGCCCACCGCTCCACAGCCGCCCGCCGCCAGATTCAAATTGCGGCCCCGCCCCCTCGAGGCCGATGTAGCCTCCGCAATCCGTACGCCGCGGCGCCGGCACGTGCCGTGCGCCACCCGGACTCTCCTAGGCCTTTCTCTGGCCGTCAGGCACAGGTGAGGGCCCCTAGGACCGGAGAGTAGCCACCACTAGCTACAGGCACGCCCCCGATCAAGCTGACTAACTGCTTTCCCGAGTCCCGGGCACTATTTTTTTGTGAGAAGCTCGCGGAGTAACCATTTAGCCGTTTAGCTCCGGRACCCAACCTTTCGATTGGATGCCGCAAACTTCGAAAAGAATCCTTAGACCAATCCTGACAGAACGACGGACTGGCTCTTTTACCCAATCAGCCAATCCTGACTGCAGCCGTTTCCTCCGTGGRTTGAGCGAGTGGGAGGAGCTTTGTGCGCGGGTCTCTTCTAGCACTCCACCTTCTTCCTCCAGCCCCGCCTCCGTATGCAGATGAGTGMCAACTAGAATTGAGCGTGCGCTTGCTCAATAACGCGTAGAGCCGCCGTTCGGCTGTAGTTTAGGCTCTGATTGGCTAATATCCCTTTCCGTCTAGTAGCCTTCAGCCTCTGTTCCCTTCCTCCGCCCCGAGTGGGTGAGTTAGAGTCCACCCAGTGCAGGACTCTGATTGGCTAAGAGCTGGCCGGCGCCGCGGTTTGATTGGCGAAGCTCCGTGTCGGTCTCGGAGCTGTGGGGGAAGGGCCCCTGGCAGGCTGAGGCGCCTAGGGGCGGGGTGGGAAGGAGGGCCGGCCAACCCTGGGGTGTGGGACTGAGAGTGCGTGTGTGTGGTGTGTCCGCCAGAGAAGGAAGGTGGCGAAGGGAGGAGAGCCCGAGTGGGTGGAGGGAGGGGAAGGGCGGGAGGAGAAAAAGGTGGGCGGAGGGCCAGGTGGGAGGGTGGCGGCTCACTCAGGACCCGGCGGGGGCAGCGCGATGAGGCGGGTGACCCTGTTCCTTAACGGCAGCCCCAAGAACGGAAAGGTAAGGGGTCGGGAGGAGGCGCGGCCGCCTGGCCGCGGGGGCGAGGCGCCGAGTGCGCGCCGGGCGCAGGCAGGGCTGAACTTGGGCGAGGGTTGGGAGCTGGAGGTGGGCGTGCGCCGGGGCGCGTCGGGTCCCCGCGGCCTCCGCCAACCCCGGCTGCGAGCCCCAGCCCGCCCCGCGCCTCGGCTGCCCGGGACCCGCGCCGACCCGGCTGCCTCTCCGCGGTCCTGGAGTCCAGGGTAGGGGTCCTGGAGGAGGAGGGAGCGGGGCGCGCCCAGGGCCGAGGTCCTCTCCCACCTCGCCCCCTGAGACCCCGCAGCCCCCTCGCCTGGCCAGAGCCGGCGCCTCTGTCCACCTGGGTGCTGAGTAATGCTGCCCAGGAAAGTGGCAGTGCCAACAAAGGCGTGTCCGACTGGCCAGGTAAAAAGAATTAAACTACCGGTGGAAGCGGGGGTGAATCCTAGGTCGGGTAGAGGATTTAAAAACAGGGACGTCTTCACGTTGGTTTTCCTCTGGCTCTTTTAGTGCCCCAATTACCTGAGCCCCGCTGCGGTAACAAACTTCTGTGCACGTTTTATTATTTCGCCTAATTTTGATTCCTCCGAAAACGGTGACAACAGACCCACAAGAGTTGATTTGACAGCCTTGGCTGTGTGGGGCCTTTGTTGAGGGTGTGGTGCTAAATATTTTCCCAGTGCTGGAGCAAGCCAGAATGAGTCCTGTTCCTTCTCAGTCTCCTGCCCCACCCATGAAAGTTGTTCAGCTTCTTTGGAAAATTTTGACTGTTCAAGGCAGGCGTTTGTTGTGTGGCTGAGTGACACCCAGAAGCCACTGAGTCTTTAGACTGGAGGTAAAAGTAAATTGGCCTCATTCTATTCATTCCCAGTATACTTTGATTCCTGAGCATTCTGAAAACAATAATTTTTAAAATGGCACAACTGGCCAGGCACATAAAAAAAATGTTTTTTCCACTTACTCTGCAGTTTTGAGTAAACATGTTCTGAACCACAGTGTGGGGTTTATTGACTATAATTTTGTGTTCTGGTCTTGAAGATTTAATACTCATACAAAACAGCATTGGCGTAAAGTCAAGTTCCTGAATTCCCAAACCTCAAAAATGTGCTTCACAACTTAACGTTCCTTAAACCTGTTTTGTAGTTAGGTAACATTCCTAATCTGAAATCTRTGTTGTTATTGAAAGATAGAACCAAAGTGATAATTGTAATATGCCCTCAAAGGCAAACCTCTTACTGTTTTATCCACTATCTCTGGTGTTAGTCTATGAAAGACAAAGTTTTTAAACTGAGTCATAGATGTTTAGCTAAGTTCTAAATCTTCTTTGAATCCATTGAATTTTTTGGTTATCAGAATTAAGTTGATCTTTTTATATTGTTATTTTAAAGCTATCATAGTTTTGACTAGCATAGATTTGGGGGTTTAAATTTTTTTTTTACTTTAAAAATATTTTATCAAAGAATCTCAAACTGTTGGGAGAAAGGCAACTCAAATAATCACAGATAAATGTTTACGTTAAAAAGATCATAAAAATCCAAATAGGAAAAATACTAATTTGATTTAAATAGGATGATTTAAAAATATAAATAGGATACTAGTTTGATTTAATATTAAAATGAAACAATGCTGCAGTCCTTATTAACTACAGAACATATTCTCCGAAGTTTTCATGTTTCTTCTTCCTTCAGCTGATTAATAACAACAAAATACTATTTTGGCTCTTATTTGACAAAAGAACAGAATAATGCATAATAACCTGCATTTGTGTGTGTATGTAGTGACTAATGAGATTGTCATGAACATGACACAAATGTTCATTTAGAACATGCTGAAACCAAGTGCTACTGAAATAAGAGTTTTCCATCTACCAATAGGAATATCTATTTCACTTACATGTCCTTATTAGTTTTTATTTTTATTTCCTGGTCATAAGTATAATCTCTTATTTCAAGTAAGTTTTCATCTTATAGCTGGTATAGCAATTGTGGGGCTGTGGCCATGGAGCTGGGTGTGGGCAGGCACACAGTTCTTCACAGAGTAATTCACCATAGCCTCATCACAGGTTTTCTGTGTATAAATAAATGTAAGTGTAACTGATGAATGTTTCTGATGTTGAAGAGAGGACTCTGCATTCTCTAACACTGGTTTCCTGAGTGGGATTATATACCACAGGGTGTACAAGATGATCCATTGGCATTTAGGAAGAAATACACCTATTATATTTTTTTTACTTAATAAAAAAAAATTTTATTATCTGGAAAAACTAACAGAGGCCTTCAGACACTTAGCACATCACCTGATCTCAAGTTTTCTGCAAAAAGTAAAGGCCTTCCCTTGTGGAAAGACCTGTAGCTAGACATGTCTTCACTTATGGGTTTGCTCTGACATACATGATAAGGAAGATTATGAGTGCCATTTATATCATGTAGTATTAAATACATTGATCCTCACCAAATTGCCAAGTGATTTTAAAAGATTCCTCCACAGAAACTGCAAACTGGGGGCTGGGGATGTGGCTCATGCGATAGCGCGCTCGCCTGGCATGCGTGCGGCCCGGGTTCGATCCTCAGCACCACATACAAACAAAGATGTTGTGTCTGCTGAAAAAAAAACTAAAAAAAAAAAAAAAAAAAAAAAAGAAACTGCAAACTGAAGGAAATATTAATTGTGCATGCACAAGTAAACAAGAAGAAAATGGCAGAGTTGCTACATCTTAATTCTCTTTGGATTTCAGAAGTCAAAAAGTTCGAAGTTTTAAAAAAGACTATTGGAGTCAGGTTTAATAATTGGTATTAACAATCAACCTGTCTTTTGGTGTATGTTGTTTTTAAAATATTAGTGATGGTATGAGGTCATTCTAATTAGGAAGACATTTAAAAATATTTTCCATCACATGAAGACAAGTAGCCTCAGGGGTTTTTGTTGTTGTTTTTTCCTTTTTTTTTTTTTTTTTTTTTAATATGTAATGTCAACCTTGTATTTAGTAGAAGTCTTACTTTAATGCTAAATATTATTTCAGGGATTATTTGGGAAAACATGTTCTGACAATAATATATAGTTTGTAAATAAATATACAAATGTTAGACCACATGCCCAAAAATGTTTCACCAATGGATTGCAGAATAAAAAATATTTGAAGTTCATAGTTTTTAAAAATTGGGATCTTTAAATTATGGGTTTTTAAAAAATTGTTGTCTTTAAATCACTCAAAAGTTATGTTTGCACCTTTCATCTTTTTCTCCAAATGCTTTAGAATACCCATTGTTCTCTTTAATATTCCCCTTAAGAGTTACCATTATGGAAATTGTTATGAAGATTCAGACATCTGAATACTGTAGTATGTGACTTCTGATCAAACTGATGTTCATTCTACATTCATGCACATCTTGAACACAAAATACTTTTTCTGAAAATTTCAAATACTTCAGAATAAATTGTGCAAATCATGATCCTTTGGTATATTGGAGTCCTTCATTCTTTCAGATAACACCAGAATACCTTTTGAGTATGAACCATCATGCCAAACACTGAAGACATAGTAGGCATAGGAACATCTGCATTCTGTACTGATGTTTACTTTGTTGGTCCAGGAAATAACTGTTTTCTTCTGGCTTTGGTATTAGGTCAAAATACATTGAAGTTATTATATATCCAGATTTGAGAACCCTTTATACTATTAGAGCTCAGGAAAGGTAAAAATATATGTGAACATTTACCTCTGAAAATCTAAACATGAATAAGAATTTTGTGAGAATTACTCTTGAAGCTTAAACATTTCATGATATATTTATATATACAAAGGGATGCAATAAAGAATATTAATATACACATGATTAAAAAGAAAATATAACAAATGTCATAACCTGCCATTACAACCCAAGAACTAGTGTATGACCAACAACTTGATGTGTTCATCTCCTTCCCGATTCCCCTGCCTTTCCCATAAAGGCAGACATTTTCATGAATTTTGTATTACTCTTGGCTGTTTTTTATTTCTTTTTTAAATTAGTATTTTTTGCCACATATATACGGAAACTATATATTTTTTGTTGTCAGCTTTTAGATATATTGTATCTCAAGTTGATGTCTTCATRAAGTCTTTTGCAACTGGATGTTTTCATTCAATATATTTCTGACATTCTATGTGTAATCTTCTATGAGTGATAGTATATGAGTGATATATTCATTTGCACTGCTTTATTGAAATTTATTATATTTTAAAAGAGTACCATAATTTTTCTACTCTCCCATCAATGGTTGTTTGGTTTTGGTCTTTGTGTTTTACTCTTAGCAATGCTGCCCTGAATATTCCTGTATTTGTCTCCTGCTGCACATAAGCAAACATTTTCTGGGGCAGTAGTGCCGTGCATCAGAATCTCCAGGAGGGCATGATAAAACATATTGCCAGACTCCATCCCCTGAAGATATGGGGTTGGGTTAAGTATTTGTTTCATCAGATCTTCAGAAATTTATAACATTACAGGTGTCCAGATCCTGCCGCTTAGAACTACTACTCTAATGCTATAGTGTATATGTGAAGTTGTAATTACCAGGTATTGAGGTATGCAAATGTTAAGTTTTTAAAAAAAAAATACCAAGTTGTTTTCAATCATTGTGGTCATTTGTATTCCCATCAGTAATGCATGCATTCTACCATGGATTCACATCCACTCCAACACTTGGTATTATCAGAATTTTTATTTTATTTTTGTTTTGGGAGGTACTGGGGATTGGGTACTCGGGGGCACTCAACCACTGAGCCACATCCCCAGCTCTGTTTTGTATTTTATTTAGAGACGGTCTCACTGAGATGCTTAGCGCCTTGTCATTGCTGAGGCTGGCTTTGAACTCACGATCCACCTGTCTCGGCCTCCCAAGCCACTGAAATTACAGGAGTGTGCTACTGTGCCTGGCACTAGAATTTTCAATTTTAATATTCCCCTTCTTGATCTTAGAGTTAGATATGTCATCATTTTAGAACAAAATCATTTTTATTTTATAACTGCAAAAAGTGTAGTTAGAGTAAATTGAGTTCTGCATTTTAGTTTTGAATTATAATTGGTGCTTTGGTTGAGAATCATGCATGAATTTAATTAATTGTGTATTATGTATATTACATTTTGGGGTATAAGAAAAAACTTTAAACATGTGCAGGTTTTAATTTTTAAATGTTGCAATTTGAAAGTGGTTTTTGTTTTTTTATGGTGCTGATGATTGAACCCAAGGCTTTGTGCATGAGAGGCAAGCACTCTACCAACTGAGCTATGTCCCTAGCCCTGAAAGTGGTTTTTAAAGGAAAATTATATTTAGCCAGGGCAGCTAGTCATGGTGTACAATTTACTTTCCAAACTGGTAGATAACTTTCACTTGTCATGGGATCTGAAATTTAGAAAGGATTAAGTCTAAATAGTAGAGTAATATGGTCATCATAAAGTTGAATTAACATACTTCTCAATTTACTCTATTCCACAAGAATGATTCTTAGTGTCTAAAGTATTTAAGGAGCCAGTCGGTGACATGGTTCATGATGAGGAATATTATACTCTGGAAGCAAATAATCTTTATAAGCATGATCATTTTTTTGAGTGCTTGGCTTCTCTTTGGCTTAGTATGAATATTAAAATAAGATAAGTACAAATTGAGCATTCCTATCTAAAATTTGAAACATTTCAGATTTCACATTTTCAGATTAGTGAAACCTTAAAATCTATGCAAATATTCCAAAATTCAAATAAACAGATAAATAAAATATTTTTTAAAAATAAAAARTCTAAACCACTTCTGGTCTCACGTATTTTGGATAAGGGATATTCAGCCTATATATATCTGTTAGCAGTTACATCCTTGATATACAAGATTTCCATTGCTTTTTCCTAACACAGTTATTATATAAAGAAATGTACACGTACTGCTCCGTTTGATCTCTAGTAACTTAAAAACCCCATTCTTGTGAATCACTTTTGTATGTTGATATATGTTTAAAAATCCAATTACCTGTTAATTTTAGTAATATTCTTAATATTTAATATTGTTGGTATTACAATGTACTTCCTTTTTATTTAGAATGCATGCACATTACCATTGATTCAAATCCACTCCAACACTTGGTATTATCAGAATTTTCAATTTTTAATACTTCCCTTCTTGATCTTAGATATGTCATCTAACTCTGGTGTCAGAATGCATGAATGATTCTAGTTGAAAAACAAATCCCAAGTATAGACTTCCAAGTGAAAAACAATTATAGTTATACCAGGTTATGGAAAGTTTTACAATTTATGGAACTGTAAGGTTCTTCATATTTATTTTGTTTCCTCTAATTGACAACCCTTTGGTTATTCCACTTAAAAGAAGTTGTCAACTGCCAGACTGTCAACTACTAAAATCATCTTATTTGTAAAACTAGTGTCTAGAGCATTGGAGACATTAAAATAAAATGTTTTCCCCTTTCCGTATCAGTGATACAGGTTCATTGTAACAAATTTGGAGAAAAAAAATCTCACCAAAATAAGCCAAAATTCCTTTATTCATAGATACCTACCTTTAATAGTTGTAAAAATATTACTCTAAAATTACACTAACATTGTATGCTTTGTTTTGCAACTTAATGCCACTAAAGAAAAATAACTGACACATACAAAAAAGGTGTGTTCTAGTTCAACACTTTGATAGTAATGGAATTTCACTCAACATTCAAGAAACACTTGTCAGAGACCTACCTTAAATCAAGTAATGTAACATTTGACTAAACCTGTTCTTCTATTTAAACTGGTAGCAACTTATTTTGATTTCAGAGATTAGATTTGCTCTGGGAATGTACTCAACTACTTTACCTGGTAACATTTGTTTACCTGTATTCACAAAATTAATAGCAACTTTTACAAATTTGAACTACTTCATTGAAACTTTATATATAAAGTCAGAAAATAATTGGTAAAATAATTATGTTTAATTCTGTTTTAGAATTGATTATGTGATAAAAGTTGAACTCAGTTCTTACCTTGACTCCTTAACAGTTTTCCAACTTGCAAGGGAATACCTATGGAGCTTTTGATTAGCTTGAGACTAGTCCTTATCAAACAATATATGTGGGTTTTTCTATCACAGAGTCAGATTTGACTTTATGGGGAAGAAACAAAAGATAGTAACACACCACTCCTCAATTTGTTACTGTCAGTTGCTATTTCATGAGAAAAACCTAATAGAATTAAAATAGATGTTACTTTGTTCTTTTTTTTAAATTCTAGTCTTTAGCACTGTCCAACAGAACTTCTGTGATGGAAGTATTTCATACTGTCATGCTTAACATGGTGACAGTAGCCATTATAGTAGTAGTAAAGCACTTGAAATATGCTTAGGAAGGAATGAACTGCATTTTTAGATTTTAATTCACCTTAATGAATCAACATTTTAATATTCCTGTGTAGCCTAAGGCTTTTGCATTAAAAAGTGCAGCATTAGAATATAGCAAATGGCCTTTATTTTTTATTAGAATCAGATCACAGGAAGCTCACATGGACAACAATTTAATTTAATTAGAAAAATAAGTCAAAATCTTAAGCTCTAATACTTAAGTACAGATGTTTAATATAGACAGATGCATTAATCTTGGATCCATTTATAGTGTGACCAATAGAAGCAAAGAAAATGCTGAGAGAGGAAGTTAACATTAGGGCAAGGAGGGAATATCAGGCAAAAGAAAGCTATGTAGAAATATATAAAATGCAGAGGTAAATTAGAGGAAGAAGAGAAGACTTAGAAAATTCTAGCAACCATGACCAGAATGTTGGATGTTGGAGAGGAGCCCCCTACCCTCCCCTAATAATATCTTGATATAAAATCATTGTGCATCTGCTTTGGCAACCTCTTGCTTTGTTCTTTCTCTTCACGTTCTTTGCCTTGGCACAACCAGATTTGCTGTACATAATGCCATATGTACTATATTGTCTTCCTTTTCTCCCCAGAATATGCAATAATAGGCTCTGTTGCAGAGGAGAACGATGATACAAAATTAGGGGACATTTTATTTAGGCTTCAGTTTTTTATGACATGCCTTCTGTGTGTAAGATACTCTACCAAGGGCTTTACATTATTTTTTCCATCATCGTAAAGTATAAGAGTTTTCCATGTTAAACATTTTTAAGTATATAATTAATTAGTGTTGAGTAAGTAACATTCACAGTGTCTGTGACCATCACTGTTTATTTCCAGAACTTTTCATTATCCCAAGCAGAAATTAGGCATATCAATAATTCTCCATTCCCATTTCTGCTGTGGTGACTTCTAGTCTACTTTTTGTTCCTGTGATTTTGCCTGTTGTACCTTTATATAAGTGGCATCATATTTGTCCTTTTATGTATCTGGCCTATTTCATCTAGCATAATGTTTTCAGGCCTCATTCTTGCTGTGGCACACATCAGAATTTCATTCCCTTTTAGCTGAATAATATTCCATTACATGTATGATATACCACATTTTGGTTATTCTGTCATCTATGGACACTTGGGTTGTGCATTGTTTTTTTATAGTCGGCCTCATCTCCTTGCGATTGTGCTTGCCTTCAGCCCTTTCCCAAGTACCCCTCCTTGTAGCTCTCTTCCAGCCCACGTCCAGGTCCAAGAGAAAAGAGCTGGAATCTGAGTGCTCTGCTTTTGCAAGATTGCACGCTGCTTTGTTAGGGAGCACCTCCSTCCATGCCTCGCTATCCATTTATTTAACTAAACTTGTCTGCTCCAGTCCCTGGTGGGCAGGAACATCATGGGTCCTCATTTCATGTGGCATTTTTACATTTGTATATGTTCATGGAAAGCCAGTCAGGTGCTTGTGTTCTGTGTTCAGCACCTCACCTGTTTTTCATTCCTAACTTCAGAGGTCCTTGTCTGGTAACACTACAACCATGTGGCTCAGTGATTAGGAACTAATCAAAAACCAGGTTTACAATGGTGACCAGAGCACAGGATTTATTTACATGAAGGGATTCCCGGGCCCCTGCTTAAGCAGTGGCAGCTGTCTTGTTTAAAGACAGTAGTTGTTATCCAGCTGTTGTATTCAGAATGTTAGATGCCAAAATGTGGCTTTTACAAAGCGATGAATATAAATAGTTATTGAAGAGCTGAAAAGTGGGAAATTGTTACCTTTCCTATGATAATTGATATATTAAAGGACATAATAAACTACTAAGTTATTCCTACTCTAAAAATGAGTCATTCCTATAAAAAGGAATAATATCAGAACACGAAAGACTTGAGGTGCATAGTCACAGCCACTTTGCTAAGCCCTTATATTCATGAGCTCACTTCAGTTTCAACTTTGTGAGATGTTACTATTTTTTTCATTATCAGTTAAAGCAACAGAAATGTAGAATTTGTCTCAAGGTGACAGCTAGACAATGTCAGAATCTATATTTAAGCACAATTCTACCTTTGGAACTGGAACAGCACTGTATTTAAGACTATAGATTGTTTTTGGTCAGTGGCGATTCTGTATTCTCTAATTTTGGTTTTCTACAGTGTGAGGCACTGAGTAAATTCATGAGTCATAAAAGAGAAAGGGACGCTATTAAGAACCCCTTGAAATATCCTTTTATATGATAATCTGATACTTTTAGTCCAATTTATAGTGTGATGGTTTGTAATTTGTGGGTGATGAAATTAATTGTATAAGTTGTTCAAATTAATCTGGTGTGTTTACAGGTGGTTGCTGTATATGGAACTTTATCTGATTTGCTTTCTGTGGCCAGCAGTAAACTCGGCATAAAAGCCACCAGTGTGTATAATGGGAAAGGTGGACTGATTGATGATATTGCTTTGATCAGGTAACCTACACCTTTTAATAATCTGTCAACACGGGCCCTCAGCTTCTTGGTGCTGTGCTGTTTCCCTTAAGCTATATCTTCATCACTACAGGATTTGGTGATGAAGACAGGATTTGGCAAGTGATTGTCTAATATTGACTCTTTAGTATATTTCAGCATGTTGATAGTCTTTCTGCATAGTTCATATATGAGTATGAGAATGTCTTCTTTGTGGTACTTGAGATAAAACCCAATAAGACATGCAGTTTTTAGTTTTAAAAATCAAATTGATCTCTTTTATATGCAACTGCTTATTGCTAAATTTATTTCCTAAGAATGCTTTGAATTTTATAAATATCACAGACCTAATTTTATAACACTTGCTAAAACTATAATATACAAGCACATTAGGAGAATTTCTTCGTTTTTCAACATCTCTCTCCCAGCCTATCTTTCATTTCAGTAGAAAATTGAGGAACATCATTGAATGGTCTATATGTCAATCTAATTTTCAAACACAAATTCTGAAAAAAACCAATGTGTTCTATAATGTCCTGTAATGTCTGTAATTCAAAGAATATTACTGAAGCCTTCAGAGCTAGCTGTTTACTGGTTTCTGGTTCATAGTAGGGTCTCTGATCATTTATTTATACTAATGGTGGGATGGATGGCAGGAGAGGAGGATATACACTGATAGTCTACAGTTTTAGGTTATATGTGATCATTTGTGTTTGGGTGTGTAGTGGGTGAGTGGTTATAGCAGTGACTTCAAATGTATTTTTCCTGGATTTAATATGAAAATGTATTTTTATTTGCAAAGCACACAGCAGCTAATAATGATTTGGGAGAGAATTCTAATAATTTATTTAGGGGTAAAGAATTAAAGTTAAAAAAGAAGAAATTGACTATGACTTTAATCATATCCTTTGAGCATAATAGTACATTCTTCAGTTAATAAGAAAGCCAGATTCACAACTTGTGTAATGGGATTAGTTTAGTTTTGCTTTTTTTCTATTTCAAAAAACTTCCATGAACAGGATCTCATTTGAATTTAAAACCAGAGACATTTAAGTTAGGGAATTAACCAAAGCACTCAAAACTTAGCTTTTTCTCAGGGTAGATTGATAGCAAAACCTGTCTTTGATAGAATTTCAAGGAATAGTTCCTTAGTCAACAGATAATTATTGTTATTTCTAGATTTTGATGGTAGCTTTTTAAATTTTGATTTCCCCAGGGATGATGATGTTTTGTTTGTGTGTGAAGGAGAGCCATTTATTGGTAAGTGATTTTCTTAAAAGCCAATTTTGTCTGCCAAAATAAAAACAGATGAAATGGTAAATATTTTACCAAGAACTGTAAAGCTTAAAATTAAGAAGAATGTTGTGACTATACTCAGATCTTCACATTCTTTGATTCCGCTTTTGGGTATGTAATATATATTAATGTTCATCCTTATGATCATATTTTAGTATGGATACTTCATCATTTACCTGCCTTTCAAGTGCCCTGGACTTGTACATATTTGATAACGGTGACATAGTAGGGTAATTTTGATTTTAGAAATTACAAGTGTTTTAAGATTTTCTTTTTCATTGTAGTTGTCAAAATTTCTCTTGAGTGTTGTGTCACATCTTTGTCAGCATATATTGCTTGACAGTCCTTCACTACCGATTAAATTAAATCAGTCAAAATGTGACATGAGCCACACAGAGGCACATACACCTACCTACTTTTGATTTGGAAGACAGTATACACAGATGAAGACCTCAAAATAAAAACCCTAAAGCTTAAGTAAAGTAAATATTCCTTAATGAGTACTTTATTTAATACCCTGAGTGCTTCTGAATTTGAAAGTGAGATGTAGAATCATATAAGAGTTTATCAAATTATAAACTTCAAGCTTCTATAGCTGCTTTTGTGTCATTTGTATCTTAGTGAAGCTATTGAAGAATCCTTGCTTTACATCTTTATTTGAATACCTTAAATATGTTACTCAGTTTCATTCTGGCACAAAGTTTTGGCATCAAAAAAACCAATCTCCCTTAAGTAATTATTTTTACTAGATCACCAGAGGATTTTTCCTTCTTTATAGTATTTTAATAGAATATTTCATGGCCTTCTGGGTGGTTCTGGGTTGATTTTTCTCAGGTATGCAGTCCTTTTAATATGTGGTGTCGAGTGTGTATAGTTTTAATCTGAGAAAAGTGTTCTTGAACTTTATGCATTTTGTCTTCTTGCTTTGATTTTCTTCTTTCAGAAGAAAATTTTTTGTGTACATTGGATCTTCTATACTTGTCTTTTGTATCTGAAGCTTTCTGTTATAAACCCTTTCACCTCTTTCTTTTTTTCTTATTTTAAAGCTATTTCTTTTTACCTTTTTTCCCCCTAAAGACATTATCTTTTGTATTTATTTACTTTGTGTTTCTTCTAATTTAGTCTTTTCTGAAAGGGTTTTTCCTTTATTTCTAATTCACTCCTTAGTTCCTTACCTCCTTTCTGAATGTTATAATTCTGTGTTGTTATTTCATACTTTTATTTATTTCTATTAGTATGTTTTAGAATATTAGGTTAGAGTTTTTATCTATCATAAGTCTTTCTTTTTGGCATGTTTTATCTTTAGGAATATGATTCTTTCTTTAATACTCTTGTTTGGATCTGATCTCATCCTTACCTGTTGCTCATTTTTACATGAAATTAGTTGTCCTTAACTTAAGAAGGGAGAGCTGACATAACAAAGTTTTTCTTATTTAGCTCTAGACTTCCCTTTTCTCTTGTTTTGTGAAGTGTTAAAAAATATGGGACTCATTTTCTACATATGTTCTGGTCTATTAGGCCTTCATAACTTTAGTGGGCTGCTCTTTCTTTGGTTTCTGTTGTCTTTGTTTTATTCAGCTTAAATTCTTCCCCTGCATCTTGTTGTCATGTGAGCCTGTGTCCTTAGAAGGGAGCTTTGGTTTTGAGACATAATTCCCGGCCCTTTCAGGTCTCACCGCAAACTACTTGCATCACCTGTYCCACTTTGAGTTGCGCAGCCAGCACCTCTGGTTCACTTTGGGAGTCTTGGGTTCATAGTGTACCCTGTCGCTTCTCTCTACTTTTTCCTTCACAGACACTGATAACATGCTGTCCTTAGAGCTGTACATACTGGTTAGAATACTTCATCACCTACTTTTGTTTTAGTGCTGCCTATGGGTTAGGGTTTTGCTGACCTAGGAACTCTGGTATACTTTAATGGTAGATTTAATTTGAAAAGTTATACCATCGTCATCATCCAGAATCCCCAGTCTTAATATTATTGTTATTTTCTACATCATCTCTAGATCCTCAGACAGATTCTAAGCCACCTGAAGGATTATTAGGATCGCACACAGACTGGCTAACATTAAATGTTGGAGGGCGGTACTTTACAACTACACGGTAGGTGGGGTCTGTGTGTGTATGTGTGTGTCTCGCGCGCGCACATTTGCTCACAATTGAGAGAGTGAAAGGGACTGAATGTACTATTTGTTTTTTCCTTCAATTTGCTGATTCCCTTAAAAGATAATCTAATTTGATATAGAATCTTTTTCTAGAACTTATTTTGAAGAAAAAAGTAGAACATAGTACATATATCATTCCAGAGAAAGCATTAAAAGCATGAATTCAGTGTTTTAGAACATGCTTTTTAGATATCAGTGCAATGCAAATTAAAACTGATAGCATTAAAATCTGTAGGACTACAACTACTTATATTGAAGAGATCAGAAAAATCTAAGTGTAGAACATCTAGAATATTGTGATATAATATCTTGCTAGAAGATTAGATAGCATGTAAATTGAAACAAACTAAAACCATATTTAAATCAGAGGAAGTACCAGATTGGAAGGGAGTTTAATAAATGGCAACTTATTGCACGTTTTTGTTTCCCAGCATTACTCCTCCCAGGTTATAGCATGCATCTTTTTGAGAGAACAGCTGAAATCAAGTATGCTCTTGACTTAAATATGTTTGTTTATAAAGACACATGGAGAAATCAATTTTTTTCCCTGACTTCTTAGGAGCACTTTAGTGAATAAAGAACCTGACAGTATGCTGGCCCACATGTTCAAGGACAAAGGTGAGTATAACACATTGTTTTCACATTTTGTTGTTCTATTTGTATGTGTTGACCTTATAACTGCTGGCCTTCTGTACTTTTAGTGGTATCAACAATTTTCATTGGAGTAAAACTTGCTGGTATATTATATCATTTTTCTTCCATGAATTTTAACTTTATTGTTTGCTTATGGGGGGCTTTCTTCATTATAATGCTAACACAGGTGTCTGGGGAAATAAGCAAGATCATAGAGGAGCTTTCTTAATCGACCGAAGTCCTGAGTACTTTGAACCCATTTTGAACTACTTGCGTCATGGACAGCTTATTGTAAATGATGGCATTAACTTATTGGGTGAGTAGTCAGCATAATTCCTCACATTCTTTAAGATTGAGATTTTTATTTTGTTTTCCATTAGTAATGTCTATTTTCATAGAGTGAAATATATCTTTTCTACATTTTCAACTGTACGTTTTCACATATATGAATATTTATAGTTACAGAAATAGGTACTGGCATAGATAGTCTTTCAGGTCTGTAGTGTTTGTTTATATAGGTATGTCTAATCCATATATTTTAATTTTAAATTCTAAAATTAACTTGGGGGAAAGTCTGAGTCCCTTTTGAAAAATGGGATTAAAATTCTTTCAGCCTTTCTACATTACAGAAATTTTGTGAAGGTTCATGAAAATGATATAGACAATGTATTTTGTTGATCTTATAATAATCACTACTTTTAAAGTAGTGATTGCATATTTGAAAGCTTATAGGCCTTTCTATCAATAAGTTTTATGTTACTGTAACAACATACCTGATGCAGATAACCTAGGAAAAGTTAATTTAGCTCAAAGTTTTGGAGGTTCAACATCTAAGATCAGGTGGGCCACGTTGCTTTGTCCTCTGGTAAGGGTGGCAGTTGGTGTACATCCTCCTGGAACATATGTAGGAGCAAATAGTCACATCTCAAACCTAGCAGAGAGAGAGAGAGACTGGAGTGGTTTCCCACAATCCCGCAATCCCCTTTGAGGACCTGCCCCTAGTGACCTAAGACTCTCTCATTAGGCTCTCTCATAAAGGTCCACAGTTACTCCAATTCTGCCACCTTAGGAACAAGCCTTTACATACAGACTTTTAGGGTCATCACCATCTAAATCATAGCACCCTCCAATGACTGAATTTGGCCTGATGTTAGTACTTAGGAAGTGTGGCAGTTTAGCTTTAGCAAATTTTTACCATATATGAATGTGGACTTAGGGTGCCAGAGCCTTGATTTTTTTAAAGAAACACTGGAATAAAATCTAAAATTTTATGTCAAATTATCTGATTTTTGAAATGCTACATGCTCAATACATCAGAATCAGCATGAGGACTGCTGGTTTATAATCTCTGTAGTATAATTCCAAACACTCAGTGACTTTCAATGTTTCTATATTAAACTTTATAATATTCACTTTAAAATGAACCCATTGCAACAAAATGATGTATTGTACACTCTGTCCATAATTGTTCTGAAGTAAACTGTTCTTGCTTAAAAAAATTTTTTATAACTATCGGGTAGGATGGTACACATCTATAATCCCAGCAATTTGGGAGGCTGAATTAGGAAGGTTGCAAGTTCAAAGTCAGCCTCAGCAACTTAGACACTGTCTCAAAACGAAAAGGTCTATGGATATAGTTCAATGGTAGAACCCCTCTGGTTCAATCCCTAGTACCAAAAAAATAATAATAATAAATTACCAAATGTTGCTTTAAATGTTTTCCAACTTGATTTGTTGTTGTTATATTCATTCTGCAGACATCGTTATAAACATAGCCAATGATCCATATTATATAAGTCTTTTTCTTTTTGATACCTGCATCATTCTGCAGCTTTTCTCTCTGATGGCTACTTCCCTGGGTTCATTTTAAACATAACTTCAGCTTTCCTGTGAGCTCTCATTCCTCTCATTTTAATTTTTCCCTTATATTATTGATTGATAGCATTTTGTATCCTCTCAGATTAGAAAAATAGCATTCTATCTTAGATTTCTACAATCTATTGCCAAGATTTGCTTGTTTTCCTTTCTCGTATTTTCCAATCATTTCTCATATTTATTTACTTGTTCAGCAATCAGCTTTCTACTAGATTCATTTTATAAAATGTTGTTTTTAATTAGTTTAGTTTCTCTTGAACATTGCCTACAGGTTCTCCTAAGTAAGTAAATGATTTAAAAATAATCTGTAGTAATTTTCTTGAAACCAAAAGGTAGTGAGGTGGGCTGGGGTCATAGCTCAGTGGTAGAGCACTCACCTAGCACGGGTAAAGTGCTGGGTTCCATCCTCAAATCCACGTAAAGGTAAATAAATAAAGATATTGTGTCCATCTACAACTTAAAAAAAAATGTAGTGAGAAGCAGAGTTGGAATTCAAATCCAAGTTTAATTGGTACTAACAGAAAATATACTGAATATCACTCCCTTTTCTCAAGGCTACATGTATAGGTTTTATATTTATAAGGCGTTCTGGAAGTTTTCATGAGTAATTCTAAATGTCGAATTAGAAATACATACATACCACATTCCCTGAGAGGTTCTGATTTGCCCAGATGATCTTGGCAAACTGATAACAAGGCCCACTAGAACTTCTTTAAGGTGGGCTTCTCCCAGGGGCAAATACTCTATTGTCTGCAGGAGGAAGCTGGAGAGGGAAGCCGGCCTGTCATGGACAGGAGAGCAGGTGTCAGGGAATTCCCTGAGTGGTATACTGGCCATCAATGACCTTTATTTTGCAATTGGATTACTGGAGATGAAATTTGGTTTCACTAGAAAAGATCATTTTCTTCTTCCCAAGTAACTGCTTACTGTTTTTTTTTACAATTATAGAATTGTTTTAGGGGAAGTATTATGTCTCTTTCTTTCTTTGTCATTTCTGAGTCCCTAGTGGTTTTTTAAAACAAGTGGACTCAGCCAACTGACTCTCTGAGTCTTTATTTGAAAGAAAGTGAGTCCAGATTTCCTCCTGCATACTCTGAAGAGAAACAGGAAGCATATCAAGATACCTAAAGGATGTCTGAATAGTTTCCTTTTTTTTTTTTTTAACCAAATTAATTAAAGCAAGTGATAGGTGAAATTCCTTTTGCCATTTAGAAATATCTTTAAAATTTTTATTTTGGTGTAAAAAAATTTCTGAATTAGACTTTATTTTTAGTTTTTATTTTTTTAGTTGTTGATAGACCTTTACTTTTTTTATTTATATGTGATGCTTAGAATCGAATCCAGTGCCTCACACATGCTAGGTTACTGCTGAGCACAGCCACAGACAGCCACAGCCCCCTCAATTATACTTTTGACTTTCATTGTGAAACTGATTTAAACTTCATTCACATTCATTTTTTGATTAAGTTAAATATATTGTGGAAAGCCTAATCAGATTCACTCCATTAAAAAGGAGTTAAGCGAACTGATCATTTTTTATTATGTTCATAATGAAATCACTAAGTCAACTCTTGTAGGAATAGGTAGTGTTAACATTTCTTGTTTGTGACCCACTTAAAGCAATTATCAGAAATAAAAAAAAAGAAATAACTGAAATATGGAAGGCTTTGTTGTGATTTATTTTCTATTTTCTTTCACAGAAAAATCTGTTTCAGAAATATTTTTCAGTATTCTATGTGTACATTCTAAACTTTAGTTACTTGTCTACTATTCACTAACACTCTACTTGTTGAATTTCAGTCTCATCATGAGAATGTAACAAAGAATTCTATAAATATCAAAATGAATTGTGATCATAAAAGTCACATCCTTTGTTCTGATAGGTGTATTAGAAGAAGCCAGATTTTTTGGTATTGACTCACTGATTGAACACCTAGAAGTAGCGATAAAGGTGAGGTTCTTTTTACCGTGGCTAGCATTACATTTATTGTAGGTATTGCCCAAAAGGCCCCACTAATTTTTTAATACCTGTTTCAAGAACTCCCAACCACCTGAGGATCATTCACCAATATCCCGAAAGGAATTTGTTCGATTTCTGCTAGCAACTCCAACCAAGTCAGAATTACGTTGCCAGGTAATTAAAGTAGATTTTAACATGTCTTATTTGTATTATCTAGTTTGTGAATAAAATTTTACATTCTGTGGTTCATTTTTGTTTTGTTTTGCTTATTTTCCTTTATTATGCAAGAATGAAATGCAATTATGGGTCATAGCCTTGATTTAATTTTAAAATGATTAGCAGAAAAGAGATGCAGTAGTTTTCTTATTGTCTAATTATGCCTTATGTAGTTGTTCTTGAGTAAACATGGAAAATGCAGCAAGTTTTAACAAGTTATTGGCACAGTTGCTACGTATGGCTGGTCTGTGGCAGACACTTTGACTTTAGTGTATTGTAGCATTATAGATTTTGAAAATCACAATGCCCATTTTTTCTTAATAAAACTGTCTTGAATTCTTGAATTAATAAAATAATTTAGTTACAAATATTCAAGTTGAACTAAAATAACTTACCAGCAGATACATGACTAAGAAGGATGTCCGGCACATAAAGGAAGTATAGTCAGGCCATATCCTAATTCACATATAGATAAAACTTCTTTTACAAGGAACTCATTAAGGACATATACATACTTCATGTATCCAAGTTTCATTTGTTCATGCTTTGTAATAAATTCCAAGTGACTGAACCACCAATTGCTTCTAAAAGAGTTGGTGGTTAGCTCTAGTAATTATATTCAATACAAACAGATGGCTTAAGCATTATGACAGTTTGTGCTTTTTAATTTCAGGGTTTAAACTTCAGTGGTGCTGATCTTTCTCGTTTGGACCTTCGATACATTAATTTCAAAATGGCCAACTTAAGCCGCTGCAACCTTGCACATGCAAATCTCTGCTGTGCTAATCTTGAACGAGCTGATCTTTCCGGATCAGTGCTTGATGTAAGAATCATTTTTGGTTATGAGGAAAATTAAAATTTTAGGCTACTGAGCAATCTCAAAGAACAGGAGTTCTATCTGTGTCTTATTGGAGCTTTTTAAATAGTAGACAGATCATTTACTATGTTGATGTRTAAAGCTGAAGGCTCACTCTAAAAGTGGAATGGGTTGTTTTCATAAGTTTGATATCCTTTATGTACATAGATCTGAAAGGTTTAGCAAACAATAAAAATGAACTCTTAAAATTAGATCCTGATCTCAATATAGTATCCTAAATCTATCAAAACTGTATTTTTGGCCAGATGGTGGCTAGAGCTAAAACCCCAGTAACTTGGGAGGCTGTGGTAAGGGGAGCACAAGTTCAAGGCCAGCCTCAGCAATTTACTTGGGATTGAATTCAGGGGCACTTGACCACTGAGCCACATCCCCAGCCCTGTTTTGTTGAGAGACAGGTCTCACTGAGTTGCTTAGCACCCCACGCTTTTGCTGAGGCTGACTTTGAACTTGGAATCCTCCTGCCTCACTCTCTCAAGCTGCTGGGACTACAGGCATGCATTCTGATCTACACCCAGCTTTTGCCTTACAGTTTTTCAAACAGTTCCACATTCAGCTTCCATTTTGATAATTATAATTTGTGAAGGTCTCATGTTAACATCAACTTTGTAGATGAGCTTCCTGGCTTATCTAGTAGTTCCTAGAGTTCTGAGCTAATGGCATGAACTCTTTAAGACGAATTTACAATTTAAAACTCAGATGTTTATTTTTTAACTTTTTGCTCTCTGCACTCGCTGCATTGTGCATTGTGGTGTGAGTGCTGGAGCTGGCAGTGTCTTGCAGCCATGGTTTGTACAGAAAGACCAGAGTGGTGACTTGTTGGTGTGTTGTTGCTAATTAATCCCTTTAATTGCTGGCATTTGTATTCTGACCTTTGAAATGAAAGTAGTAGTAGCCTCTTGAACAATCAAGAAGTTCATTTCTTGATTTCTACAGTGATAAGAGAAAATCCATACCCCTCCTAAATTTCTGCCTTCTTAGTCATACATTTAGTCATATGGTCATGCTCAAGGCTGTTGATACAAATAGGAATAGAGTGTAATAGTTCTGACTTCGTGGGTTCTTTATTTAAACCCTTTTCCATGTGAAGTGAGCATGCTACTGTTTATTTGGCATGTTTCTCTTTTAAAACAATTCTTCTAAAAGAAATGTTTCTTTAAAACATCCTCAATTCTTATTGTGTTTCATTAAAAGAGTCTTCATAGTAAACAAAAATAATTGCAAATGTATTGAATTGAGCTTCCCGCCCCCCCCTTCCTAGTTTTTTTCTTTTACTGTTTACACCAATGGGAATAAAATCATGAACCTTAAAAACCAGGACTTTTTTCTTTGCAGTGTGCAAATCTCCAGGGAGTCAAGATGCTTTGTTCTAATGCAGAAGGTGCATCCCTGAAACTGTGTAATTTTGAGGATCCCTCTGGTCTTAAAGCCAATTTAGAAGGTGAGATCTTATCTGTAAATGTCTGTTCCAGGGTGAAAGCAGACCAGGAAGTAAAAAGCTCCAGGAAATCATTGCTAAGAAAAGAGTGGCAGTAGGGGACAGGTTTTATCTGCTGTTGGAGAGATTGCAAAGGGTCAGTTGCTTCCTTGGTCTTGGTCATATGAAAACCAAACTTGAGGACTCAGAGATAAAGTCTCAAATAGTTAATGAGGCTTCGAGTTGGACAATTAAATATCAACATCTTAACCCTCAAGTAGAATTAAATACTCTTATATTGACCAACAGGAAGAATTTCAGTTTGCAAAACGCCAAATTTTTTTTGTCAGTTTTTAATAATTCATTATTGCTTTGTTGGGTTTGTGAATTGGGCATGTTGTTCACTTGTACTTTTAGGAAACACATTTTTATCTTCCACGTCATGAACAATTTATGGTGGCATAAAAGTGCTAACCACCTAAGATAAGACTGATTGCTTGGGCTGGGGTTGTGCCTCAGTGGTAGAGCACTCGCCTAGCATGCATGAGGCACTGTGTTGGATCCTCAGCACCACATAAAAATTTAAAAAAATATTGTGTCCCCTGTAAGATTGATTTCTCCCCTCAGAAATACCTATGAAACATTTTAATTCATGCTGTAAGCAAACAAGCTGCTAGCATTGAATTCTTCACATGTGTAAGCCAGTTGAGAATGACACTTGAGGTTCATTTCCAAAAGTATAAGAAGATCATCCTCATTTATCCTCTAATCATCTTGCAGTTTGTTGAAGGTAGATAGTTAGACATATTTTTTTTTTAAAGAGAGAGTGAGAGAGGAGAGAGGGAGAGAGAGAGAATTTTTAATATTTATTTTTTAGTTCTTGGCGGACACAACATCTTTGTTGGTATGTGGTGCTGAGGATCGAACCTGGGCTGCACGCATGCCAGGCGAGCGCGCTACCGCTTGAGCCACATCCCCAGCCCCAGCCACATTCCTAGCCCCTAGACATATTTTTAAAGTTAAACTGCTCTCCAAATATGTTCACTGTAGGTGCTAATCTGAAAGGTGTAGATATGGAAGGAAGTCAGATGACAGGAATTAACCTGAGAGTTGCTACCTTAAAAAATGCAAAGTTGAAGAACTGTAACCTCAGAGGAGCTACTCTGGCAGGAACTGATTTAGAGGTAAGTTCACCAATGCCTGGTGTTTGAGTAATCTTAATTACTGAGTATCTCAGGTAAAACTTATTGAAGTTATTAGGGAAGTAGTTGGCTGGTAAAATGCCCAGTAACATGCTGGGGCAGTTAGAGGGATATTTTCCTTTCAATGGCTTGTTCAAACATTTCAATTCCAGAGCAAGTCCATCACCTGAGGCTTAGATCTAGTTCCAGGTGTGAAGACTCTTCTGACATTCAGTCTCCATTTATTTCATCTCATCTTTTTCTTGGATCTTTAAGTTCAATAGTCTTTTATTAATCTAACTACTGTGTTTTCATTAACTTTAATTCCGAACACTTTTATAGGCCAGATTATTCTTGAATGACTTGGGAAATTTAAATGATATCCACGTTTGAAAGCAGATTCAGGAAAAGCCTATTTTATTTTTTTAACTACCTTTATTTTATTTCTTATATTTTATGTGTTACTAAGGATTGAACTCAGTGATTTACTTATGCTAGGCGAGTGCTCCACCACTGAGCTGCAGCCATAGCCCAGGAAAAGCCTATTTTTAAATTGGCATCATACCCTTTTTGAATCTCAGCTAAAGATTTTAATCTTGTCCAGTTAACTTTTTCATAAGAATTATATTCTATTTGTGACTTGCAAATGTAGCAGTAAACTTCGTGGATATTGATGCATCTGCAACAGCGCCGTCTGGTCACACACWCTGCATGCGGGTGTGTTTCAGATCCATGCTGTTCAGTTCAGTTGCCACATAGCCACATAGAACTGCTGGGCACTGCAGCTATTCTCAACTGAGAAATTGATTTTCAAATTTTACTTAATTTTAACTCATTTATATTTAAATAGCCACAAATGGCTCATGGCTATCATATTAAATAATATAGTTTTATACAAGCAAATCTGGTACAGACAGGATTGTAGAAGACAGTAGGTGAAAATTTAGCTTGCTGCTGATTTTGTAATGGATGTTTTTGCCTTGATCTTGATAGCTCTCTGAAATTGAGAGCCATTTAAACTTAAAGGCAAGAAGAACCAGCCTCAGGTTAACAATATAATCCTATTATGAGCATAGTTATTTGTTATTGTCACTTAAGGTCATAGGTTTTTTTCCTTGGTTTCAGCTATCATGTAGTCAGTGTGGTTAAGCAGCAAAAGCCTTTCTCCCTCCAGCTGATTGCAAAGACTGATCCAGTTGACCATTAAGGGGCAGCTGTGAACATTTGGCTTCTTAAGAGGCTCTATGTAGTCACCCTTCTCTCACCATCCCTTAGAGACTTTACCAGAATCTGTCTCATCTTTCCCTTATCTTGAGAAATTAACAAACAGCTTCCAGTTGTGGTGGTTATGCCACTGTATATATCTACCTAAACTCATTGAATTATACACATATATTTGGGGTTTTAAAAAAGGCAGTTTCCTACTATAAAAACATCAGGACTACAAAATGGAAAAATCTACTATACAGTTTAATTATTAAGTAAAAATCTCAATATTTTTTCTAAATAGTCTTCCCCCATCTCATGCCTTTCCTTATTGTTATTTTGGGATGTGGTAAAAATAGATAATAGTTATTATATTGGAATTCATTCTTGATTTTATTTACCTGCTTCCTCTTTAACCTTGATTGTACATACTTGTGGTGGTCAACTTGAGCATCACCCAGGAATAACACTGCAGATAGAAGATCTGACTTTAAGATACATGGTCAGGAGTGTTCCAGAAACTGTTTTGTTATGTAGGAACACTGTCCTAATATGCCTAGAAATCTTTGTGAAAGAAACACATAAGGCCCTAGATCTCCATAGGTGTTACATGAATCTTATTTTGTTTTACAGAACTGTGATCTGTCTGGGTGTGACCTTCAGGAAGCCAACCTCAGAGGTTCCAATGTGAAGGGGGCTATATTTGAAGAGATGTTGACACCACTACACATGTCCCAGAGTGTCAGATGAGAATCTCAGGGTCTGGAGGAAGATGTCTGAGATGAAAAATGT